ATTTAAGTAGCCAGTTGTAAATTACCTGATATAAGTAAGATTTGCAATTGTATATATAAGCTAAATATCCATTTAATAAAGTTTTCATTATTATTATTATTATTATTATTATTATTATTATGGGCATTTCCTTATATTCTGTTCTCAATTGTTTTTTCCTTTATTCTGTTGTTGCCCTATGTTGTTTATTTATGTACGAAATTGTCGACGGGGTCATTTGACCAATTAGTTTGGCAGTGTTTTCCACCATTAAGCAAGCCACAAAGGCAACGGTGTTTTGAAAACAAAGTACTTTTGAGATTATGTTTAAAATAAGGAACTGTTTGTTTTGATGTCAGGTACTTATAATATAAGAACGTTATGTATGGCTTGTGTGAAGGAACTCCGGTCATTTTGTTCCTACAGTTAAGGAACATTTGAATGAGAACAATCTGTTCAGCTTATATATAGGAACTTCAGTCACTTGTTCCCTTATATTAAGGAACGGTTGAATGAGAACAATCTGTTCACTTCACGTATAGGAACTTCAGTCACTCGTTCCTTTATATTAAGGAACGGTTAAATGAGAACATTCTGTTCATTTTACGTTTTGGAAATTCAGTCACTTGTTCCTTTATATTAAGGGACGGTTGAATGAGAACAATCTATTCACTTTATATAAAGGAACTTCAGTAACTTGTTCCTTCTTATTGAAGGAACGGTTGAATGAGAATGACGAGACACTGTGGTTCGTTCCGTTTCATGTCATCGCACGATTCAATGAGAATAATCGGTTCCCTTAATTTTAAGGATCTGCTTTGGACTGGGATCGGTTCGTTCCGTAAATATCGGATCTACTCGGAGACCAAATAGTTGTAATGACAAAAGGGAAATCCCCTTTTCACAATTATATGTTGCGACATCAGCAACAATCGTTCCGATCGAAAGTACACAACTTTGTATAGTTTAATTGATAATTTAAATAATATTTATTCGCGCTATCATGCAATTTGGCTAACATTCAGAGCTAATCGCTGCTATAGAATTTTCATAAATGCACGAAATAATATCTGACCTATTGCACATACTCTTTTTATATAAATATAGATTCTTGTACAAATACGTATATTGCAAAATGTTTAGTGGGTATGCATGCATTGCATGATCTGCTCTTTTGTATTACAAATGCAACCTCGTTCCCAGGGTCTTTAGGAAAGACCCTGGTATCGGCTGGTCATGTGCCTCGTTCAAAATTGATTGCCCGAGGGGGGTGTAGTGAAAGTATCAAATTACAAACAGTTAACATAAATTTTGCGAACTATTACCAGTAAGTTCAAAATACTTGCTAATTTTTGTTTATTTTATTTGCATTGAATTTACAAGAACATTCTTACATTTTTACCAACAGTCAAGTCAAGAAACCAACCAAATCGTTACTCGCAGTGCTCTCTCGTGTTGTTTTATTCAATGCGCTCTTCACACTCGAGCGCGGTTTTATAACAAACGTTTATGGGCCTTTCAGTGGTCACCATTTCTACATATCTAAAGTTTTTAAAACAAGCATTATATTTGTCCTTTTTTGTAAACGTTGCTATGCTTTGCACGTCTTGTTTATAAAATTTTTAAAAGAAACAGTATTGTATTGTATTGTATTGTATTGTATTGTATTGTATTGTATTGTCTAAGACTAGAGAGAGCCCAATATCAGCAAATGTAAACATTTGATACTAGCCAAACAGAGAAATGTCTGTCAGTGATTTATCTTTAAAATTTTGGATTTAGTACATAATTCGTATTCATTAATTATAGCATGGCTTTAGCCTTTTTCTTGGTCAGATAATGTTTTCCTAATATGCACACAACTAGGCTATAATCTACATCACAAATTTACAGTGTCAGACGCGCACAGACTGCCATACGAATACACATAAATTTTCGAGTTTTCTACTTCTACTAAGGCTACTAACAGTTTTCATTGTGTCTCAATCATCTGTTTATTTCTAGTTCAATAAGTTCATTTATATTTCTATATTTATTTGATAGTGGCAAAAATAGTGATACATGTAGGCTATTTACACACAAGCAATCCTGGATATGATAGAGACGATACAAGCTGTCCATTAAAAAATAACGGTATTCTATTTCACAAAGCAAAAAATTAAAATCTCACTTGTATTATTAAGAATATATATTAAGCAGAAAATTAAAGCTTGTGTCAAAACGAAAGCTGTTTATAAAATTTATAAATGTGGTATAAACACTGACAGTAGTAAACAGTAAGACAAATATATTGTCGTTTGACTTATCTTTGATGTATGACTTTAATGTAATACCGTAGATTTTCAACAGACAGCTAGACTTTGACATATACCATGATCGTTGAGATCTTGCAGGAAATTTTGTAGTCTTTTGACGGGATTTAAGTTTTGTGATAAGGCCTTTATAATCAACAATCTCGATACAGTTGGCGTCTTGGCGACATGTCGGAAATCAAAAGATCTCGCTATTTCGTTCCAATTCCACATCTCATCAATAAATATATTCTTTTGGTCCGAGTATCAGGATATACTTTAATACTAACAGTTAAATAAATATAAACCACATTGGTCGGTCTAAAGATATGAATTTTCTTGTAGGCTTAATATTGCCACGCCGCCCAGGCGTGCTTTCTTTGTAAGTTGAAATCTGATCCAACTTGCTTGAATTGTAACTCGACACTAGATTATAGAGCAGAAAGTCACATCACGATAAATATTAATTTTTAATTGCAGTTCTCTTCACGATTTCTTGTTGCAAATTTAAATTTCATCACACAGAATTGCAAATATTGTTACAAACGCGACAAACACGCTCCTCTCCCACCCTGGCCATAGTATCATTTTAATTTATCACCCACAATCTGGGTGACACGTGACCAGCCGAAACCAGGGTCTTTCCTTCGCCTCGCGCCGTTCTAAGAAAGACCCTGGGAACGAGGTTGTTACAAATGGAAGTTTTTGATCAATATAAAGACAGAACGCGTTCCAAACTATTTTCAATAATTCCAAACTATTTTTTTTTCTTCAAAAATTAGAAAAAATAACAAAAAGTGCGAAGATTTCATTTTAGCAAATCGAAATACTTTTACAGAGACTATGCAAAAAAACAGCATTTTTATCTAAAAGAGATACCATTCTGAAATCATTAATGCTAAAGTGCATATTTGCAGTATTCATATACTTACATACTTACACTGGTTTCAGATTGTCAGTCATATCGTAGCCAATGTCGAATTCGTATTCGTATTAAAAAGATTAAAGCCCAACATATTGCTTTTAGAAAGACCATAACGTAAATGTTTGAAAAAATATATATTATTTTAAAAGTGACGTATTGTCTTGACTCGTATAAGTATTTGAATAAATTAAGTGAGATGAAGCTATATACATCGTATTAAATTACAAAGAAGGGACACATATGGTGAATAAGGACATGGTGGTACGCGGAAATGAGGGAGGACAAATAGTGTTACAAGACATACAGTAAGGAAGGGAAAAAAGGCAAGAGCTAGAAAATGTTAAGGGGGGATAGAGCTACCCTGAACATTGAGCGAAGGTTTCATTTTAGAGATGAGAATGCTTTCGTGGATCATCAATTCAGAGGGATCAGAGCAGGAAGAGAGGATTTTAAAGTCCTCAAAGGAGACAGAATGACCAGATGCGTTGATGTGAGAGTGGATACTCGACATTAAGGGGCTTGAGGAAGGTTTTCCCGTGATAGGAAAGATTTCTAGGTGTTCGGTATTTCTGGTGTGTAAATGGCGTGTGGTTTGACCCACATACGACGAGGAACAGCATCGACACTTGAATGAGTATACAACACCAGATCTCAGGGACATGGGAATTTTATCCTTAAAAGGAAAAAAGCAGGAAATACGTGTGGAAGAGCGGAAAACTAATCTAATATTAAGATGACGGAAAGCAGCATTGCAGAGGCGGCTGACTTGAGTGCGGATTTGAAGAGAGTGAGAGCCTGTGAAGGGAAGACAGAAGTATATTATTTTCTTAGGAGCACTGAAAACAAGGGGTCTGGATTGGAAAATATCGTCAAGGAAGTTGCGAACAATACGATCAAACATATATGAAGGGAAGCCATTGAGATTAAACAACTTTCTAGCGACTTCAAGTTGATCATGGAAGCTTTCATAGCTGGAGCAGATATTAAAGATGCGATGTAGCAGGCCAGAGACAAAGCAACGTTTGTAAGTTAGTGGGATGAAGATGTGGAAGTTGGTGGAGAAACCAGTAAATGTGAGTTTACGGTAAAAAGAAGTGGTGAATTTAACGTTTGAACGCAAGATATCGATATCTAAGAAAGGTAGTTTCCTATCGCATTCAATCTCAGAGGTAAAGTTTATGCTAGGATGTTGGTGATTTAGATAGTCGAGAAAAAGAGGGACGTGGTCCAAGGAAGTGAAAAGAAGGAAGCAATCATCAACGTAACGTCGATAAAGGATAGGTTTAAAGGAGGAAGGGCAGTTGTTTAGCCAATTCTTCTCATGAAAGGACGTGAAAATGTTGGCAAAGAGAGGTCCTAGGGGACTACCCATAACGCATCTGGTCATTCTGCCTCCTTTAAGGACTTTAAAATCCTCTCTTCCTGCTCTGATCCCTCTAAATTGATGATCCACGAAAGCCTTCTCATCTCTAAATTGAAACCTTCGCTTAATGTTCAGGGTAGCTCTATCCCCCCTTAACCTTTTCTGGCTCTTGCCTTTTTTCCCTGTCTTACTGTATGTCTTGTAACTCTATTTGTCCTCTCTCATTTCCGCGTACCACCATGTCCTTATTCACCATATGTGTCCCTTCTTTGTAATTTAATACGATGTAAATAGCTTCATCTCACTTAATTTACATAGACACCGAAAACGGTTTGCGTTTGTCAAAATCATATATAAATACCAACCATGCAGAGATAAATTAGGTCTCTGAATTTCAGACATCCAAAATGGTTTGAGTTTGTCAAAATTATATATAAATAGCCTACCAACTATGCAGAGATAAATTAGGTGTCGGATTTTCAGACACCCAAAATGATTTGAATTTGTCAAAATCATATATTAATACCAACCATGCAGAGATAAATTAGGTGTCTGAATTTCAGACACCGAAAACGGTTTGAGTTTGTCAAAATCATATATAAATACGGTCAGGCGCGGATCTAGGGGTCGTCAAACCAGTCACGCGACTAACGTAAAAATTGCAAACTCTATTAAAATCTTAAATATTCGACCAGCGCTAGCAATTAACATTCCAATCGAACTGTAGTCCAGTGATCAAATTTCATACAGTACTAGTAGTTGTGCCGACGAGCTTGGTCAAGTCAATGAGCAGCTGACATACGCAAAGTCGGTCAGTCAAAAAGTCAAAACCCAGTGTTCTGATTGGTCTAGACGCTTATTGCCATGGAAACAAGAGATTTTTTGCGATTTTGACTGATCTGTGGGGAGTTCTGACCGATTTACAAAATTCAGGGGCGCCCCATTGGTCGGAATATCATTAACATTTGACGCGTTGTAAAGTCTTTCCGAGCGCGCGCTCATTCAAAGTGTCATGTTAGTGCTTTGTCAAAAGATTCAATTTAAAGATATCGACGGAAAATTCGGAAATGTCTGCTGCTCCAGACTCCAGTCCTTGTAGTATTAACGAAACGGTTCAATCCGCATTTGCGGTGAAGGATTTAGCTGTCTTACAAGACTGTTGCGCTGATCTTGGGAGAAAAATTAACGCTAAATATCGGAGAGTTCCATTCAGTGAGCAGTTGCTAAGTGGCGTAAGCAGTAGTATAGCGAATGAGGGTTCTAGACCACTTTTTCGGCCCGCGATCTCACCCAACTTCCGGTCAGCGGTTTCCATATTTTTCCCTCAAAAACGCGGGCTCATATTTTTCTAGACCATTTTTCTATTATTTTTGGTATTATTTTTTCTATTATTTTTCTATTATTTTTCAGCATTATTTTTTCAACATTATTTAACAATTTACTTTTCCTATTGAGTGATGTCCGTACGCGTAACTTGTAACACCATCTTCAAGTAGGTATCTTTTATCATCGAAACAGCTGAGTGTAATTTTCTTCAGTTCGTAAGTTCCGATTTTATGCTTGATGCTTCTGATCGTGTTCATCTTATGTCTCATCCTACCTTTGGTCTTGATTATGTTCTTAAAGTTTTCGTGAGTGAGTTTGTTTCTGATCACGTACTTTTTCACACCTTTCGCTGTCATTCCACCTCCGCCGCTCTCCTTTACGTAGGAGTACATCTTTGACCTTAACCCTACGAATTCAATCACTGGTACTCCTTCAGCTTCGTCCTTAAACTTTCCAATTACCTTCTTATTGTGAGCTGAGTAATATGGAGAATCTTTCGGATAATCTGAGTTGTCCCAGCGTCCTTCTCCTGACCTATCCTCTTGAAGTCCTCATACACGTCATCAGTCTTAATCTCGTACATTAGACTGTCAGTGTCTGTGAATAGAAGCTTCGACTTATTACCGTACTCCTTCTTGATTGTGTTGTAATGGAAGTCGTACATTAAAGTATTGGATAAGTCTAATATACTCATTCCCACATAGCACGGTTTATTCAGAGTTAGAACTTCCTTCATTCTCTTTACCACAATTAAGTTCTCATTCATAATCCTATGTGATTGGAAGCACGGCGATGCTGTAAGTTTTAGGAGGTCATTTTCCGATGACACCAATTTTACGTCAACTCTCTTCCTCAAATTTTCCATAGTCTTTCCGTAGATGGAATTGTTCATAAGCTTGAAGAAGTTTTTCTCAAACGCATTCTTAGCTACTGCCCGTTTTTGAGTATTGAAGTCAATATAGTTTTTCATCCAAGTTGACTGCTTGAAGGAGACTGCTCTATGGACCTTTACAAGTTTTATTCCGAGATCCATGTAGAGTTTCAAGTTACGGGCATGTAGGACGTAGTTCTTCCTAGGACCTAGTGAGTTCACCAGTTTTCTTACTCCTCCGATTGTAAGCTGGAATTTCTCAGCAATACTCTTCGCGTAGTCCGACAACATTGACGCATCGATCTCCTTACTCTCCGGGGCTAGAGGATAACCGTTATGGAGATCGTGAAGTTCTTTTGGATATTCCATGTCAACCTCAAGGACCATACTCCTTCCGCTGTCTCCAAGGTAGTCATCTAGGTTTATTTTATCAACTTCCTCAACCCACTCAAATTCACCGTTAGGCAGAGGTTGAGACATTGCCCAGCCATACAAATTGTTGGCGTCGAGGTACATAAGGAACTTATTTTCAGATGTCTCGTCGTACGTTTCCATGTACTTATTATTCGCCGTGGAGTGTCTATGGGCAATATGGCTTATCCCACCTCTCATTCCCTTCTCAAAGAACTGGAACATGTCCATATCACTTACCAATTCTATTTCCTCTCCTGACTGTTTTAGGAATGCGTCCCAACTTAGACTTGGTGCTGATATGTAGTGAGCAGGGTGAAGCTTGTAGTTTTCCAGGCAGGTCCTCCTGAAATTCTCGAAAACATCTGCTAGAAGAAGAACGTCAGTCTCCAGGTAAAGATCGTGGTAGTCTCTCATTGTTTTCATCTTGAAGTGATCCCAGACTTTTAGAGCTCTCTGGTAATCTTCTTCTTTCACTTCAGACTCATATAGAGATGAGTAGAATTTGTCTTTACTTGGAAGTCCCTCAGTATCAAGTTTACTTATGTCATCCAGGTATTCGTAAGGGAATATACCTTTTTGTCTCACAAGATCGAAGTCCTCACCTTGCCACCGCTGACCGACTATCTTGAAGTCTTCAGGTGAAAGGTTACTCACAAGTGCCTCCAGGGAAGAAGCCATGAATTGTATTGAGTCAATGAACACAAGACTTTTACCTAGTGAGAAGGAAATGTATTTTTCCATGTTATTTGGGACCACGTTGATGTTCATCTTAAACTTACCAATTTCCTGCATTATTAGATGACTATCATAACCTCTTAGGTTATGGAAGACCACTGGAACTTTCCATGTGATTCTATATTTTAGGTTGCACATATTATGGGCAGCTCCACGGTACAGTCCAGTTACGTGGTCGTGGTCTCTCACTCTGTCATCACCTAAGTCGTTGCCACATATGGAGCAGTTCCTTGTCATCCAGAACTCAGCTTCTTGCTCTGGTGTGATTTCCATCTTTTTCTTGAATATTTTATTTACCATCTCTCGGCACTTAATGGACTCCTTCAGTACGGTCTTCAAAAAGACCACTGTGGCATCTTCACCAACGTAGCTTATATATTCACCGGAGTACTGGTCATCGTAGTGGCACACTGTTTTAAGCCCAAAACTACAGGCCTTGTGGGTCTGGTATAGTTCTGTAGTACTCTTGTCCTCAGGGTCTTCAGAATCAAGTTTTCTCTCTTCTGGAACTAGTATGCACTCAAAATCGGCGTATATTACAAATGGTGCGGGCATTGAGTTCCTATGGTTTTTGAACTTTATTTTTGTACCCTCACTCGGAAGCTTTGTGGCTTGAGTTCCATTTACCTCAATACATGTTTCACGATGTTTTTCCAGTGACTCCTCACTAACGCAACTGTGAAGGCAGTGTAGGCAGAAGTGTTTCTTGTTTGAGTTTCCGCTAACACTGAAGAGCATTCTGTTTATATCCTTTATTAGAACGTAGTGGTTACCACCCTCGTTGTCACCCAACAGCAGCAGCTCCATATGCTCGTCATATTTGGTCTTAGAGTTTCTTATAGGATAGAACTGCTTTTTACCACTATAACCAAACACTGATATGCTTATGGAGTTCTTCCTCTCAATTTTATCAATGTCGCTTATTTTCACGGGGAAGTCTATTCCCTCATAGTCTAGGTTTTTCGCGAACTCTCTGTCCTGCCGTGTTATGGTGGTTGCTCTTCTAGCCCTTGGTCTCACATGTCTCAGATGACTCCACATAAAACATTTATTGTCATTGTTTTGCATATTTATGAGGCCGCATTTTGGATTGCTGATGTCTGCGGGTAACTTCATATATGAACTACCCTTTAGAGGTTTATACATCGCAATATTAACGTAATGGCTCTCAATATTTAATATGATCCAGTTTGAACCTAAGTTCTGGAAGGTTTCAATTCTAGATAAGATTGTCAGTTGGTTTTGGGCTGCAGTGCTTTCAATGTCCTCGAAGTTGGTTGCGGTTCCTGTTTTTGACTTGAAGTATATTGAATCCTTCTTTGTTTTATCATTTCCGATTTCCTTCGACATTCTTACCTTGATGGTTTCCGTATATTTCAGACCTCCCATTCTCTTCAGCTCATTTACTAATATTCCCCTCACCACCTGCCTACTCGCGGTCATCTGGTCTAGGGGATCCATATAATTTGGAGTTATGGAATAAGTCACAGCGGCACCATTTGCGGCAGTTTCTATTTTCCTATAGGATGGCTTCTCAAGGTATGTTCCAAAAGGATCGATTTCATGTTCCTCTGGTGCGACCACTACCGGCTGTTCCCCAACTTCCTTAGTTACCTTCACAGGCTTCCTTAACTTTGGAGGAGGCACTGGCTTTTTAGTCCTAGGCTTGGGAACTGGTCTTTCCCTAGGAATTACAGTTCTTGGTTTGGGAACTGGTCTTTCCCTAGGAATTACAGTTCTTGGTTTGGGAACTGGTCTTTCCCTAGGTTTCCATGGAGCCACACCCTTTGGTACCTCAGGAGCTTTCCTTATTGGTTTCTTGCTGAGGTCCACAGTCACCGTGAACTTATTTGGTCCCACCTGAGTTATAACGCTATCCGCGGGAACTGAGAGTTTTATTCGGTTCTGACTTATGAACCTCTCCGCGACTGTTTGTCTTCTAGCTTTAGGTTTCGGTGTTTCAGCTACCTTAGCCTTTGGTGGTCTACCTCTTCTTTTGGGGACCTTAGCTTCTGGTGTTTTACTTACCTTAGCCTTTGGTGGTTTGGAGACCATAATCTCAGGTTTTGCAGCTACCTTAGCCTTTGGTGGTCTACCTCTCCTTTTGGGGACCTTGGCTTCACTATCAGCCTTAACCTTTGGTGGTCTACCTCTAGGACGCTTGGGGTTCCTAAGGTTTTCGAGCGTCTTCATCTCCGCGTTTACCTGGGGATCGTCCGTTCTCCATCTACCTCCCATTGTTGGTGGCAGGCCTTCAACTCCTCTACTTAGTAGGCTCTGGTACGCCTCCTCAACTAGTAGGGCCTTTGCCTTTTGTCTCTCGGAATATTTCCATGTTGGCTTATTCCTCTCTTACCCTTGTAGTTGAGCGGGAGTCTCCTTGGTCTCTTGGGATCCGTAGTGCGATCGCCTTCATCAATGAACAGTTGTTCTTCCATGAGGGGGTTTTCTCCCTTATCCTTAGGTGCAACACGGTAGAACTTATCATCACGGATTTTCTCCACTTCATCCTCGAAATTTTCCTCATAATCGCTGTCATCAAGTATCTCACCAAGCGCCATAAGTTGTTCAACGGTCATATCGTTCATGTCAAAGTTTGTCGCCCTTTTTTCACTCTTTCTCTATATACTATAGGTAAAAAAAATAGACCTATTTAAAGGTCTATTTAATTTTTATTTAATTTAATAATTTTTATTTAATTTAATTTAATAATTTAATATTTAATTTAATAATTTATTTAATTAATAATTTTTATTTTATTTAATTAATAATTTTTATTTAATAATTTTTATTTTATTTAATTAATAATTTTTATTTAATAATTTTTATTTTATTTAACTAATAATTTTTATTTTATTTAATTAATAATTATTAGTTAATAATTTAATATTTTATTTATTTCTAAATTTCCAACCGTCATAATATTTACACTTCAAAGGTTTCCATCCCAACTCGGGAAAAACCTTTCCATATAGTTTGTCCTCAAGGATGTTCACAATTCTTTTGGTCTTAATGTCCTCAGGAGGGTTCCTCAGCGTGATGTTGTTCATGCTGGCTATCCTTAGTAGGTAAAACTTATATCTAACTATGTTGCGCCCCCGTTGCAGTCTAAGTCTTTGTATACATCTTACGATGCTTCTAAACTGCTCCCGTATGGTATCCCTATCCCCAGAAGCAACATGTTCTAATAAGTGTCTCTCGAACCAACGGGCTCTATTATGACAAGACTTCTTTTTCAGATAGTCGTCCTTGTTGTTGTTGTAGCTAACGTAATATGTGAAGCCGTTCATATCACTTGTGCCACATTGTGTGCATACATCTGCTCCATCTATCACCACAGTGGACTTACTACCACATTCACTACATACTGGTTCGTATGTATGTTTGACCCTCATTTTATTTCTCACGTATTTCATTACTACAGCCTCTAGCTCCTCAATAGTTTTTGCGTTCTTACCGACTCGTTCCATTTCGTCAGGTGTTACCAGTGTCAGCCAGTCCATTCCCTATACTATATATGTTAAAATTTTCTGCTTGTTTTTGTGGTTTATTTTTACGCCTCCTTATTATTCTCCATTCCACATATTTTTTAACTGCAGCCTCCAGTTCTTCTATGGTGTCCACCCTTTTTCCCAGGGCTACCACTTCATCAACATCTACCATTGCAAGCCAATCCATTTCTTTATAATATATATGTAAAAATTTATTGCGGTATTTTTATAGCAATAAATAAGCTGCCCCTCCAACCACCCCACCTGTAATTAAACCAAAGATTGTCATATACTCTTCCATCTCTGAGCTAGGTTTGTAGTGATTGCTTAATTGCGGTCTTCTCGGCATAGCTTTATGTGTAAGCTCATTGATTCTTCTAACGAGTTCCAGTGACTTATTCGTTGAATTAATATCCTTATTTGCCTCGGCTAGTTCCGACTTTAGTTCAGCAATCCTATTACTTCTATCAGTGACCTCTTCAAGGTACTTCTCTCTTTCAGCTGTTAGGTTCTCCATTGCAACGTTATGTCTGTGGGCCTCCTCTGCAAATCCGTTCTTATCAAACATCTTAAATAAGTATCCCGCTCCAGCAAATGCAAATGCGTTAAAGAGTCCTCCTGCTACTGCTCCCGCCATTGTATAGTCTTACTTAGGTTTGAATGGATCATCTGGTATATACTTCTTTTCTTTCAGGTAGGAGACTAGTAGAGATGAGAGGCTAACTGAGACAGCTAACTTTACCATTCCTTTTACATTCTCTGGGGTTCCTAACGGTTCTTTCAAAAGTTTTTTCGATGCCCTTGATATACCAACTGCTCCTGCTGTAAGTAACACTGCGTTGTACACTTCCGCGGTCATCTTTGATTCTTTACTCATCTTGCTATAATATATATTATGTTTAACGTATCATTCAAGTGAATCTAACCTGGACTCATCAGCTTTCCTGGTTACTTCTACAGTTTCAGGGATGTACTTAGGTTCTGGTTTCTTTGTTTCCCTCTGATGCTGATTAAATGCTAGGATAAGAGATACCAATGCGATGACCACTCCTACATATGCGATCATGTTATTGCTGGATGACTCCTCAGGTTCTGCAAGTTTCTTTTTCCTCTCCTTTGCTATTTTGCTGATTGCGGCTAATCGTTTTCCTGCAGCTACTCTTTTTGGGTCTTTCTTCTTTTCACTTGTTACTACTTGAGTTTGCTCAGGTTTATCTTCCATTCTACTTGTAAGATACCTTAGGTTTAACTGGGTTTTATCTTGTGAGACATCTAGAGTCTACTTGTGAGATAACTTAAATTTACTTGTAAGATGTCTCAAATCTACTGGTGAGATAACTTAAATCTACTGGTGAGATAACTGGTGAGATAACTTAAATCTGCTGGTGAGATATCTTAAATCTGCTGGTGAGATAACTTGTGAGATAACTCAGTACTTACCTGATTTGAACTTTGGTCTGTATGTCCTTGTAGTACAAGTTGGATTCTTTACTGCAACTTTTCTTACGGTTTTCTTAAGGGAGAAGTACTCGTTAATTCTAATACAAGTTTTTATCAAGTCGTCTGAAATCATTACCATATATCCCATTTTCATAAGCTTTTGGAGCCATAATACTTGCCTCTCACTTGCAACCCCAGTGCCCTTGGGAGACTTGAATTCAATAGCAAATCCTTTGTACCTCCCCATGGGATTCTCTATAATAAGATCCGGTTGGCCACCTTTATATCCCTTCTTCCAGGCATCACATCTTTTTGACATAGTGTCCTGATACTCACCTAGACCAGGTATGATTACAGCCTCTAGGTAGTTGTCTCTGATGTAACTCACAACTGCGTGATGGAGGTCCGTTTCGTTTATAAGGATTATTTGGTTATATCTAAGTGACCTTCTATCTGGTAAATTATACGAGCCTGTTTTTCTTGTAGATGGGAGGACTTCTCTGAATACCCAGTTCCTGAACTCCTTTGCTGTATTAAGCTCTGATCCAAAAATCAGCTGGTACAAACCCTGTTCTGTAATTAGTACGGTGCCGGGATGACTTTTTGTAAGGGGTCCCTCGAGGGACCCCTTATGGATGGACCCTAGAGTGCACTTATCCTCTTCCCAAACATGATTTCTAACTGCTTTTTTCGTATTCGAGTACCCTAGAGATTCCGCCACATCTTTTGCGTAAAATAGGATCTCATCACCTCTCTTAATAATTCTTACACTAACGTTTAGATATCGGTTTCTGAAAAGTTTTTCCATCTTTCTCTATATTATATATGTAAAAATATTTAAGCCTATTTATTTAGCGTTTAAATTTTGAATTTAGGGGTGGGACCCAATTGGGTCCCACCTTGATTTCCCTCTACCCACCCAGCCTGTTAGGTCCCCTTATTTAAAAATATTACATTTCATTTAGTTTCCTATATATCTTTACAACTGTTTTCACCATATCATCTTTGAAAGACTGGTATTCATACTGAAGTGGCCCTATAATCTTATTCTTAAGGTTGTACAGATCCTTCTCCACAGAGGTCAGCGTTGCCTCGTTCTTCTTAAGTAAGCTTTCTGTTGAATTAATCGCTGCCTGAATTTCATCTAACTGCTCCTTATTCGCGTCGGTCTTCTCAATCAGTTCATTAATTATGTCTTCAAATTCAGTTCCTTCCCAAGCGTTATCCCATTCGTATCCTGACATTCTTCTGTATTTAATAAGATATGTTTGGCTTCCTCAGATATTTCCTCAGGTTCCTCCTTCTTGTTCCACTTATGCGCAACAACATGCTTGGCTGTTGTACAACCACCTGATATTAGACCTATGAATGGAATGTTGGGGGATATCATTCTAGTTAGATAACTTACGTCATCCTTTAGAAGTTTATCACTAAGTAGTTCCTCTGACAACTTCTCTGAAGATGCTACTGCACCGAAACTCCCCAGTATAGAAGCAAACTTTGAAATTATGAGTGTTGATAAGAAGTCACTTGCGCATGACATCCTCTGACTTTCGTACTCGTGGTATAGTCTATCCACAACATCCTTGTTGGACTTTCTTATAAAACTTGCGGACTTCTCTATTACACCATCCCTAGACAGCTCTATAAGCTTGTCTCTTTTGCTCTCAGTTTGCGACTTATCTGCGGTTGACTTAGTTTTTCTTGCGGTAGACTTAGCTTTCTTTTGCGGTGCCTTTGCGGCCTCTTCTACTTCCCTCACAGCTGCAGATATTTCTTCATCAGATTCAGATCCCATCTTTTATATCCTACGTGATGTTTTATTTGATAGTGTATGTGTAAGGGTGAATAAGTAGTATATCTAGTGCGGTGAACTTCCTATCTTTTAGTATTTTTGTAATCTCCGTAATTGTCTCCTGAGGGACACCACTTAGGTAATCATCTGTTATCACCTTCATATCCCTACGACTAGGGTTGTAAAATGTAACTAACCTGGAAATGTTCTCCCTGAATGGTTTTGCAATTGATGATAATTGTTGGGTAATTACAATAACTGATAGGTTGTAATGTCTTGCGGAGAATGCTAGGCGCGCCAGTTCTGAGACCCTTTTCTTTACATCCTGACCTGCAGCACAATCATCAATGATGATTAGCGTTTGAGTTCCACGAAATATGGTGGACACTGCCTTCAGAACTAGATTGATCATTTCTTGTGAACATGGAATTTGTATGACTCCATGATCACTAATATGAGCCCAATTAATGTAAGTCATATTCCATTCTATTGTTGGACATATAATCACAATATAATCGAAAACTTTATTGTATTCCGTTTCTAACATATTTAGTAAGAACTGAGTTTTACCACTTCCAGTCATTCCTACTATGAGCATGTTGAATGGTGGTTCAAGTTGCATCTCTATGCTTTACCGTTGGTGCAAGCTAATATTGAATACTTGATAGATCTCTATTCGCAAAGTTAAGGAGGGCATCCGATACAACAAAAATGTTGCACTGAACGTCAGCTGTTGTGGCTTGCTTCTTGATTTCCATAAGTACTCCAGACTGCGTGTTGACAATCTTCCTTCCTCCTCCAGTGGTATCATCCTGAGTCGTTCTAAGATCAATTACTAGAGCAAAACCACTACTGAAGAACCTGCTGATAGACATAAATTCATCTGCCATAGATTTCTCGCACATAGGACAGAAGAATCTTTTTGCCTCTTCAAAGAACCTATTTTTATGAAGTCCTTGGGAGAAGACCGCATTAGGTACACCTTCAATGGTTAGGTTCACTTTATCAATGTTTGGGTAAATATATTCTTCAGAATTGGTTATCACCCTGTTCGTGAATAGGAGGACAATTGCTGACATGCTCTTTCTGGGGATATTTATGTTTTCATTGACAATAGTAAGATCCTTGTCCCAATTACTTGTGCGCATTAGTGTGACATGTTTGTAGGACAGTGAGCGGCCTGTTGAATACATCCTTGATACTTCACTTGCAAGGGCGTCATTCTCAATAGTCTCGTATTCTAACTCAAGATTGTCAAGTTTATAATTACCCTTAGCTTCACCTCCTTGGGCAGTCATAATCTCATCTGATTGCGGGAGTGTGAGGATGTACATAGGATTGTTATTCATGGAGAACGGTGTGTAGAGTCCATGGTCTGCAATTATTTTATCAATCGGTTTTCTAAGCTTAGATCCGTAAACACTATGGAGAAGTCCATCTGCTACTTTATTGGCATCACCAACCTTTACACCTGAGTCGTCGCCTGAGATTAGCTTCCTGAGATTCTCACTTGCAAGACCCTGTTCTGTCATCTTTTTCCTGTCACCCAGCGTTAGCCATAGATCTTTGTATATTTCGTACAAACTCTCTCCTGAACAGTCATAAGCTGTTTCACCAGCTACTTTAATCTGAAGACGTTTAGCTATTAACTTAGACAGGTTATTATTAAAGTGGCTTTTTGTATTGGAATTCTTGAAGTCGAATAATAGTGCAAGTGATTCTGGAACTAAACAAGAGTCAGGCTTTAGTTTAGGAATGTTAATGTACAGCTCTTCACCTGGACTGATAGTTGTTGGATTAAATGTTACGACACTTCTAGTTCTGGGACCTTTTACGGATGTCATGCGGCTCCTCCTGAAGCCAGGCTGGAGTTCTCTTTCTGTGGTATTCATACTTTATACAATATGTAATGTTTAGTTGTATATGTATACTAGAACTGCTGCTGCACAAACAATGATTATCCATATATTATCCGCTGCTAACTCTACTCCATCGGCTATCTTCTGAAATACAGGTGGTAGTTCTATTTGATTGTTTACCAACTCACTGATTCGCTTATCGAGTTTTCCTGTTGTGTCACCTACTTTCCACAATATGTTTCTAGTTGATGCTACCAGTCCTATGATTACAGCTGATGAGGAAATTAGAACAGCTGATAAGATGCCTGCATTCTCCCTTGCCCATAACCTGAGCCTTTGTAGTCTCCTACGATCATCCCGTTTAATGAGATCCCTCTTTTTCACCTTATCCCTTAAGTTGAGAAGTTTATTTAGATTTGACTCTCTTTGGTAATCGTTTGATAGCATTCTGACGTACCTCAGTTCTTCCGACTTTTCTTTGAAACTATCTTCATCTAAATTTGATAATATTAATTCATTTAAAAGTCTGTCTCCCCTATCCATTAGATCATCGTATGACAGATTAGATAGGTCAGGGAATTTCTCAGCTAATTGCTCTCTCGTAAGGTCTTTACTTAACATTTTTCTCCTCCTCAGTTCCTGTACGTAATTAATTTCCTCGTTAATATCCTGGGTCTCCTCAGTAGTTTCGCTTTCCCCAAGATCCCTGCTGAGGTACGGTAATTCGCTATCTAAATCTTCTACATCCATTTCTTCATAGTTTGGATACTTTTCCCTCAACTCCTCCATTTTCTGGTCATCGTATTCCTCTTGGTGTTCCTCCATAGCTAATTTACTTTGTGTAATAGTTGTACAACATTAAGGCTGCAGCTATAGCTAGTACCCATAAGTGTTACGCTAACCAGGCAATTCCTTTGGCTCCCATGATAGCGCTGTTGCAACTGCGTTCAGGATTGGAACTAGAATTGGTCCTGCTTTCTTTGCTAAATTTGCTAGTGCTTTTGCTACTTTACCGGTGGCTTTTGCTGTCTTCACAATGGCTCCCCTAGCATGGATTAATAAGGCTGTAATTAAACTAGCTGTTGACACTGCTATCCCTACAAGTCCCACTTTTTCCTTTCCTACCCAGTCTATAAATCTGTGTAATCTAGAAATATCTTCCAACTGTGCCTCTCTTGCTTCCTCTACTACTCTCTGCTCTAGTGTCCTATCTCTAGCTTCCTTCAAACTGTCAATTCTTTCTATAAGGGAATTATACTCAGTTGTACCTTCCTCAGATGTGGCTCGTTCCACGGTTTCACCAATGGCTTCATCAAAGTAGTCAGCCTGGATTTGTAACGCTCCATTGGGACCTGTTCTGCCTTCTATGCTTGATCCATCAGGTGGGTTAAGAACACCTCTCAGTTCATTATTTTCTTGCATTGTTAGCCCTGGAAGATCTCCTAGTTTTGCACTTATGTCTATTAACTCAATGTTCTCACGGTCAGCGTATTCCTCATCACTGGTATTAAATTGCGGCTCTTCTTTAGTATCCTCATAAATTGATTCATCACTTCCAATTATATCGTCAGGATTCGTAGGTACCTCTTTTATTTTCTTTAGAAGGTCCTTATATTCTCTCAGAGCAGGTGAGTCCTTTGAGTACACGAGTTTACTGGTCTTACCACGTTTCATTATTTGTGTCCCACTTCTGTTAATACCTTGTTCACTTCTAAATACCAGCACCTCCGTGCCATCCTTGAGTGTTCTTACAGATGATCGTTTTATGAGTTCCCTGACGTATCTATTCCTAGGGTCTGGTACTAGTCCTTCCTTACCCTTGATAACTCTTGCGACAGCTTGAACACGCTCCACCTGGTTTTCAAAGTCTCTCTTTTTATTTGCTGTTGAAATCTTATTTAGTTTCTCTAGGCGGGCTACTATTTCATCCCAGTCAGCGTCAAATGATTCATTGAATGCATCTAGCACATCTGGAAGTAAATTGTTTGGGTCTTCCACAAAGTTGACTTCTGGGACAGTTGTGCTTCCTGATGGACCTGAAATGTTCACTGTACCATCATTTCCTTCGGTGAAAGTTGTTTCTTCTATTGCACGTCTCTCCATGAGATCCTTTACATAGTCCAGTTCACTTTTAAGATTAGTTATTACTATAGG